CTGCTGGACGCGCTGCGGGCGGCCCTGCTGCGCCGGGAAGGTGAGGCCCCGGGCCGGGCGTCGCCTCGGGGCTCTAGGAGCTAGCGATCTCTGCTGGGAGACGCTGTGGTGGCGAGGCACCCACCGGGGACTCAGACCTCTCGGTGGCATTCGAGACAGGACACTAAGGAGCCTAAGCCCTGTGAGACGTAGGACAGCAAGTGTAAAGGCCCTGCGGTGGCAGTGAGCCGGGCTTAGGAGAGGTGTCCACTGGGTTTACGCGCGGTTGGGGTTCACTGTGGGGTCACGTGCTGAGCTGCGTGGGAAGGTGCTTTGTAAACTCACGATTACTGTTGGCTTTTGCTGATGTTTGTGTAATATGTTTCAGGGCCTCTAGTGACATTGAACAAGCCAGCGGGGCTGCCCGTGTCAGGTAGGGGGTGTTGGGAGGTAATGAATGAGAGATGATGTCTCCGAGGGAGGGGTGGGGTGGGGATGAAGCTCTTTTTCCTCTTCTGTAGGAAAGCCAGGAGAGCTGACGTTGCAGTCAGTGCTGCCCGAACTGAGCCAGTCCCTGGGTACTGGGGAGCTCCACTTGGTGCGAGCACCTGGGAAGTAAGTGATGAGGGGGGGGGGAATGTAGAAAATTCACAGTGGAGCGCCTGCCTGTGGCACACACTTGGCAATCGGCGCTTCCTGGGAGCCAGGGCAAAATAAATAGAATGAACTACCCAGCCTTGTTGGCTCAGGAGGGGAAACCTTGTTTCTCAGGAGGCCTGTGTTACGGTTGTGGCATTACGGTTTGGTCTTGAGTGGAACAGTTTTCCTTCTAAGGGGTGTTTTTGTAGGGGGTTGGAGGGGAAGTGGGATTGGAGTTTAGGGCCTCGTGCTCTTGCTTGGCTTTCTCAAGTCTGGAGCTCTACCACTTGAGCCACATCTCCATGTCCAGCTTTTTTGCTAGCTAATTGGAGGTGGAGTCTTTTCTGTCTGGGGTGGCTTTGAACCAGGATCCTTGGATCTCTGCTTCTCAAATAGGATCACAGATATACGCCACCAGCCTGCAGCGCCTAGGGGTCCCATTTTGTGAGTGGGCCCACAGCACGTTGTGTGGTTTGTCCCTTCTTCCAGGGAGCCTTCCGGGCTTGTACTACTCTCCAGTTGTCCCCAGACAGCAAGCCACCTGCAGAAGTTCTTTACCCACTGTAGGAGGGCCCAGAGGCCCACAGCTACCTACTGGTGAGCGGAGTTCGGGGAGGCTGTGGGGGCAGCAGGGAGTGGGGGTCCCATGGGCCACCCTGTGACCTCTCGTGGCCTTTCTCAGTGCCGTCACTGATGGCATCCCGAGCCACTCTGAGGGGAAGATCCGCGTGGCCCTGGCCCTGGCACACACTGATGGCGTCAGCCAGGTGAGTCGGGCGGGGAAGGGGGCTCTCCAATTCTGCCACCTTCCAGAGGAGTCTGGGGAGGGAGATGGGGGGAGAGTGGCCCCCTGGGCCGGGCCGTCTTGTGGGGTGCAGCTCTCAGGTGGGTAGGAACCTTGTTCATGCTTGGCTGGCACCACAGGGGGTTCCTGTCAAGTGCCCATCCCGAAAGGACATCACGGAAGGCGTCAGGAGGACCCTCAGCCTCTTCCGTGTCATGGCCGCGGGCTCGGGCTGTGCCCTGGTGCAGCTGCAGCCACTGACAGGTGGGTTGGAGCTCTGGCCGGCTTTGGGGCACCGGCAGGAATGAGGACCGTCCTCCCGGTAGTTCAGCCAGCGCCACCGTCTCACCCTCCTGCCGGCCCCATGCCCCTCACTGCCCTTGTGCTTGGGGGAGGGGGAGGGACTCCACAGGGGAGGGGGGGAGAGGCTGTCCACCATGCTGCGTCTTCTTCGCCCAGCGTTTCCCGATCAGCTGCAGGTACACATGGTACTGCAGCTCTGCCCGGTGCTCGGGGACCACACGTACGCTGCGCGAGTGGGCACCGTCCTCGGCCAGCGCTTCCTCCTGCCAGCTGAGAATGCCAAGCCCCGGAGACAGGTGCCCAGGCCCCTGTGCCTGCTTCCTTCCAGCATGGGGTGTGGTCCGGGCGCCCTCCTGGCTTCCTGCGCTTACTCCCCGTCTAGCTGTGTGGCTTGGGCCCGTCCTGCCCACGTGGCAAGTGGGAGCCCTGAAGCAGAGGGACTTCCAACAGCCCTCCCTACGTCCGCCCCTCAAGTCTGGGGTGTGTGGGAGGGTATTTCTCAACGCTCTGACCTTGAGCCCAAAGTACCGAGGTGCACCCCCGCAGCGTGCAGTGGGATGAGTGGGAGAGGGTAGGGGCGGGCAGCCACACAGGGACCCCGCCAGTTGAGAGGGCACGCTCTGTGGACGAAGATTTCACCTGCTGACACTGCCATCCCGGGACTACAGGTGTCATCCCATGACCTTGTCCAGCGGCAAGAAGGGCTGGACGTGGTGTTTAGCTGTGTGGCCAGGAGGAAAGTGGTTTGGGAAGTTCCCAGCAAGCATCTGCTGCTGTGTGGGAATTAGTGTGCTCAGCCATGGAGAGTGTGTGTGTGTGTGTGTGTGTGTGTGTGTGTGTGTGTGTGTGTGTGTGTGTGTGTGTGTACACGACAGCCGCACATGGGGAGAGGGGCTGGCCTCACTTGCCCTCCGCGCTCCATCCGGCTGCCTTGGTTCTTCCGTTCAGGTCTTGGGTGACGCTCTGCTCCGCCGCCTCCGCCTCCCTCCCTCCCAGGCTGCCCAGCTGCCTCTGCACCTCCACCTGCACCGCCTTCTCCTCCCAGGCACCAGCCCCGCGGGCGCTCCTGCCGAGCTCCTGGCTCCCCTGCCCCCCTATTTCTCCAGGACTCTGCAGTGCCTGGGGCTCCCTGAGCCGTAGCCTTTCCACTGGTTTACTGTGTGGCGCTGGGCAAGTGGCTTCTCCGTGGACTTGAAATAATAAAAACTCCTACCTCACGCTCTGCTTTGGCGGATTTGCTGGTAAAACAGATACTTTCCGTGGCCTGTGGTTTGCTCAGTTGTATTTGGTGGCTTCCTTTGAAAGCTGACCATTTTAGTCATTTTTCCCCCCCTCCTTTTGGTGCCAGTCCTGGGGCTTGAATTTGGGGTCTGGGTACTGAGTTTTGTTGCTCAAGGCTAGTGCCTTACTACTTGAGTTTTTTTTTAACCACTTTTGGTTTTTTGGTGTTTCCTTGGGGATGTGTCTTATGGACTGTCTTGCCCTAGCTGGCTTTTTGAAATGTGACCTTCAGATCTCAGCCTCGTGAGTAGAATTATAGTCATAAACCACCAGTGCCCAGCTCATTTTTTTTTATTACATTGCCTTGGCTGGCTTCCACTCCTGGGCTCAAGCGTTACTGCTGGGACTGCAGGAGTACACTACCCTGCTGGCCTCTGTGGGATTAAGTGCACTTCGATGGTGATTTTCCAGTGTGCCGCCAGCTCCACAGCCACCTCCTGACTGCTTCCGTCTTCCACAGTCCTTCCAGCCTGACTCGACACTTCCCACCCCCACATGACATTCTGGTTTTATCTCAAATCGTCTAGGTTCACCATCTAAGTGAGATACTTATATTTTACTTTAAAAAATTGAAATAGGGCTGGGTGCCAGGGGCTCATGCCTGTTAGCTACTCAGTCGGCTGAGATCTGATGATCCTGGTTCAAAGCCAGCCTGGGCCGGAAAGTCCATGAGACTTAACCTCAAATTAGCCACCAGAGCTGGGCACCAGTGGCTCACGTCCGTAATCCTAGCTACTCAGGAGGCTGAGATCTGAGGATTGCAGTTCAAAACCAGCCTGGGAGATCCTTTTCTGGTTCATAAGTGTGATGATTGGGTTCTCACGCGCTTGCGTGACATGTGCCTCCCTCTAAACCTTGTTACGACGTGGGCACATTACCCTTCTGACGTAAAAAAAAAAAAAAAAAAAAAAGCCAGCCTGGGCAGGAAAGTCCGTGAAACTCTTATCTCCAGTAAACCACTAGAAAACTGGAAGTGGTGCTGTGGCTCAAGTGGTAGAGCGCTCACCTTGAGCTGAAGAGCTGAGGGACAGCGCTCAGGCTCAGTGTAAAAGCCCACGACCGACAAAAAAAAAAAAGGAACATACTACCTGAGCTACACCTACAAGCTTATCAGTATTTTTATTTTTGTTGGTTGTGGGGCTTGAACTGGGCTTGGGTGCTTTCTCAGCTCTTCAGCTCAAGGTGAGCACTCTAGCACTTGAGCCACAGCACCACTTCTGATTTTCTGGTGGTTCATTGGAGATGAGTCTCACAGACTTTCCTGCCAAGGCTGGCTTTGAACCACAATCCTCAGATCTTGATGTCCTAGGTAGCTAGAATTAATAGGTGCAAACCACTGGTATCCAGCTTCTACCAGTCTTTCTGACAATGCACCCAGGGTATTTCTGTTTACCATGTCATGTGAGAAGGCTTTTTTTTTCTTCCAGTGCTGGGGATCAAACCCCAGGCCTCAGACATGGTAGGCAAGCACTCTGCCACTGAACCACACTGCCAGCATATTTGGGGGGTTGGGCAGTAGTACTGGGGTTTGGACTTGGCTTCAAGCTTGCTAGGCAGGTGCTTTGCTTCATAAGCCATTATACTAGGCTCTTTTGCTCGAGAGGGTCTTAACTTTTGGCCTGGGGTAGTGTGCATCACGAGCCTCCTGCTTCCTGCAGTAGCTAACACAGAGGCCTATGCCACTCTCTCCAGCTTTTTCTGTTCCAGTCAGGTCTCAACCTTTTTGCCTGTGCTGGCCTAGAACCATGGTGTTCCCCAGTCTTTGCTTCCTGAGTTGTTAGGGTTACACGTGTGGGCTGCCAACACAGCCCTGCTCTGCTTTGTAAGTTTTACCACATAGATAAGCACCCCTGTGACCAGCTTTGCTAATACATTCATTTCCATAAACTGCGGGAAAGACCTAGCACAACCTGAGTGGCTTAGAACAACAGAAGCAGCTGGGTGCGGTGGCTCACGCCTGTAATCCTAGCTACCCAGGAGGCTGAGATCTGAGGATCGTGGTTCAAACCCTCCTAGGCAGGGAAGTCCCAGTTTTTTTTTGGGGGGGGTCTGGTTGTGGGGCCTGAACTCTGGGCCTGGGTGCTGTCCCTCAGCTCTTCAGCTCAAGGCTAGTGCTCTATTACTTGAGCCAAAGCGCCACTCCCAGCTTTTTCTGCTTATGTTGTGCTGAGGAATCGAACCCAGGGCCTCAGGCATGCGAGGCGAGTGCTCTACCCCTGAGCCACCGTCCCAGCCCTGCCAGAGATTCTTATCTCCAATTAACCTCCAGAAAACTGAAAGTGGGGTTGTTGCTCTAGTGGTAGAGTGCTCACCTTGAGCTGAAGAGTTGAGTGACAGTGCCCAAGTCCCACCACCAACAAAAAAACAAAACAACAGAAACAGTTTTCAGTTTGGGAGGCCTGAAGTCCAAAACCAAGGTGACAGTAGTGGTCCCCTCGGAGGGCTCCGGGTTCTCTGTGCAGCTGTCCATTGGCTGCTGGGGATGGAATGCAGGCCTTCCTGCATGCGAAGTGGTTCACCACTGAGCCACTCTCCCAGTCCCTCTGCCTTGACAATGTATCATCCTAAGGCGCTGGGTCACTAAGTTGAAGCCTCAATACTAGCACAAAGAAAAGAATCACTTTTTGGGTGGGTGGGGGGAGGCTGGGAAGGGATGTGAAGGGTAAACAAAGGAGGAGGCTGCAATGCATTATCCTGCCCATGTAATTGTAACCCCTCTGTACAGTATGTTCACAAAAAAAAATTAAAAAAAATCACTTTGACCTTTGTGCTGTTTTCCCCCACCATGTCACCCTCCTTTAAAAAATGTGATATAATTTACACTTTATACATACATTTTATATATATACATATGAGACCTTGCTCTATAGCTTATATTGACAAACCCAGGAAGCTGCCTCAGCCTCCCAAGCTCTGGGATAACAAGAGTGCGCTGTGGGGCTGGGAGTGTGGCTCAGTGGTAGAGTGCTTGCCAAGCATGCATGAAGCCCTGGGTTCCATTCCTCAGTACCACATACACAGAAAAAGCAGGAAATGGCACTGTGGCTCAAATGGTAGAGTGCTAGCCTTGAGTAAAGAAATCAAAAACCAGAATGCACCACCACACCTGGCTGTGCTGTTTTTAAAAGACTCCTCCCTGGGAAGGGTGCAGAAGTGCAAAGTTCCACTCCTGTGGAGGATGAGAAGCCCAAGTTGAGGCTAGGGGCATGGCTCAAGTGACGAGGCCTGCTGAGCAAGAGTGAGTGAGGCCTGAGTTCAAACCACAGAACCACCAAAAAGGAAGTCAAAAGTGGCGGTACAGACCTTGACATCACTGGAGGGCTGGCAGTCACATCATCTTCAGCCCTGCACAGTAAATCACTGCATGGATTTGTCTGCTTAGTCTCCCCTCAGAATCTAGCCGCTTCATTAACTTCTCTGTCCAGTATTGGAAGAGACTGCATCTTGAGCCTTCCTTCATGTAGGTCCCCGGCCACATCAGACTCACTTTAAATAAATGTGTATGGGGGCTGGGAAGGTGGCTCAGTGGTAGAGCGCTTGCCTTGCATGCCTGAGGCCCTGGGTTCGATTCCTCAGCACCACATAAAGAAAAAAAAGCTGGAAGTGGCGCTGTGGCTCAAGTGGTAGAGCACTAGTCTTGAGCTGAAGAGCTGAGGGACAGCGCCCAGGCCCAGAGTTCAGGCCCCACGACCGGACAAAAAAAAAAAAAATGTGTATGCTTTCTATACAGTTAATCTCTACTCATTTCATTCCCAGCCCTCCAAGATCTGGATCTCCTCTGTCATCTTCAGTGACTAACACTGGTGTCACTAGACTTAAGACCCACACAGATAAGCCAGAACCGTCTCATTTTGAGATGTCAATTTAATAATACCTGCACAACATCTTCCATGTAAAGACATACTTCACAGGTTGCAGGTCGTTTTTAGAGGACCGCCATCCCACACACCACACTAGGGAAGGTCAGACTTCTCAGGGCTGTGGCTCATTGGAGATTCTACTCTTAGGTGGCTTTTGATCCCTTCTGGAAGAAGGGACAGGCCTGTCCTCTCTGGAGAAGGGCTGGGCTTTGGACACTGATATCTCTTTCCCCTTTCTGTGTCATTCCTGTGTCCACCAGGTGTCACCCTGTCAGCCCTGCCCGGCCGGGGCTGGGGATCCTGGTGTACAGCGGCTGTGACCGCATGTGCCTTGCCTTCCGCTTGCTGCCCCAAGATTTTGGGCAACCCACGTCACCTTTTCGAGACTTGCATTCCCCATCTATATAGTGAAGGTCCTCCCCTCCCCCGGTCCCCCGGTGTCCTGTCCAGGAAGCCGTGTCTGCCTGTGGGTAGGGGCTTTGGGCCTCGCTGCATGGGAGAGTTGTCTGCCCCTTGGAGTGGAGGGACCTCCCCCGCTCGCTCTTCATCCTCCACCAGCAGTGGAGCCAAGCCTGGAATACATTATTCACTGCTTTTTATTTGGGGCTAGACCCAGGACAGGGGCAGGGGGGTTCGGAGCAGGAGTTTCTCAGGCTACGGAATGCAAAAGCAAGGGGTACAAATACAGGGAGGCTCAGCCTCTCTATGGGGTATGCCTCAGCCTTGGAGCTGTCGCGGAGTCTGGCCTTGAACTTGCCTTTGGACTTGACCTTCCTGTGGTTGCTAGGAAGAGGTCCAACTTCAAAGGACAGAGGCCATGGGGCACTTCCACAATGGGGGGCTCGAAGGCGCTGAGGACCACCAGCCTCGGTGTGAAAGAAGGGGGAGAGGGAGAGATGATCAGGAATCTGCTTCCAGAGGGGGAGTCTGGCAGAGTCTGCGGCTGCCTGGGGGAGGCCCCCCCTGCTCTCCTGTCCCAGTGCTCAGCGCTACCCACCCCCCTCCCTGGGGTGGGAGTCAGGTCAAGGCCCACCTTTCTTGGCTTCAGGATGCTGGGTGTCACCTTGAGGTCAGGG